TTCAAACCCACCAGCCACTCCTTGGAAGGAAGGTTGGGCAATCCTACTTCCGTAGTGATACTGCCTCAGAAACTCAAGGAGGGGTCGCTATGAGTAGGGGCTGACTCGACGGCACATAACAACAACAACAACATAACCAGAAATACCTCATCGTGGAGTGTATTCAGTGCAAATTAGTATCATTTGAAGAGATTCTATATTTAAACTATCACAACAATAAGAAACCACTTTCTTCCCAATTTCACTTTGTACTTACTTTACACTGTAAGTTGTCTTCATTCATTCTGCTTCTATTGTCTTTTATGTTCTTTCATTCTCATTTATTATTTATAACATGAAAATTTGAAAATTACTGATTAATTTGGTTTTATATCCATCTATTAAACTGTTTTTATATTCATCTATGCATTTATAAAAAGCTACTCAAATCAAGTGTTAACAGTTTTCTGATATATGATAAATATATAAAGAAAAAGCAGGAAATTATGTGAAGTCTCTAAAAATGTTGTAAGGGAGTTATCTAACTGGTATCAATAGTCAAAATTATACTTCCTAGTATAATTTCTTATTCTATAAAATTTCCCTCCTACAATAAAAGGACAAATAACTTTTACTTTTTTTTCTTACTATACTTCTTTCCCTTTTCCACACAAATAGAATAATTTTCTGTTGATCACTGTATATGTTGATCACATATAAAGTTTGTTAACTTTTCTATCAATATGGAAATAATTTCAATTGCTTTTCGATGGATATTTAACACAAAATAAATATTGTAGTATTTGCATAAATCAAAAAGTATATATTATAAACCATTAATTTTCTTGGGGACATGTTTTTCTAAAACTTGCAAGTAAATTTATCTACTTCAACTATCTTTGTGAAAAAATTATAAAAACATAGTATCATAATCAAAATAGATTTGTGGTATTACAATTTTCTAATAAATGATGAATCTACCAAGTAAATTAATTAATAAGTTATACAAATATTAACATATTCCTACTTCTCTGTTGTTGTTGTTGTTGTTATGTGCCATCGAGTTGGCCCCTCCTTGAGTTGCCGAGGCAATATCACTACGGAAGTAGATTGCCCAGTCTTCCTTCTGAGGAGTGGCTAGTGGGTTTGAACCTCCAGCCTTCTGGTTAGCAGTAAAGTGCCTGAGGCACTATGCTACCAGAGCTCCTTACCTCTCTTTAGTAGAGTATATAAAATAGTAATTGGGGAAAAAAATTTCTTTGCTAATAATTTTGTTAGGAGCTCCGGTAGCATAGTGCCTAAGGCACTTGACTGCTAACCAGAAGGCTGGCAGTTCAAACCCACCAGCCACTCCTCGGAAGGAAGGTTGGGCAATCCTACTCCCGTAGTGATACTGCCTCGGAAACCCAAGGAGGGGTCGCTATGAGTCAGGGCCGACTCGACGGCAAACAACAACAACAACAACAATAACTTTGTTACTTCCACTGTCATGTTACTTAGGCTGAATATGTGTCTATGCCTTTAGGAACTGCCCTGGTTTGAAAATGTGAAGATAATATATTCATTGGGTAATAACCAATAGTCATTTATCCCAATTGTTTTGAGAAAATGTTTTTCCTGTGAAAACGACCAAGGTAAACCTAAATTTATCATTCAAAACAAGCAAGAGAACAAAACAGTATATTTTAAAAGCAAAGGAAAATACATTCAATTTTTCTTTAAATAATAATTAAAGACTTCATGTAACACATTCATATCCTGTGGCATACTGGCAGTCATTTCAAACCAGTAAGCAACTAATTTTGAACTCTTTGCTTTCTATTTGTCCATTTCTTTCTCATCCAAGACACCATGTGACATACCACTGTTTCTGATGGTCTGGTCCTAAATTAGATTTTGTGACAAGAGACTAAGGGAACATCCTGATTAATATTTGCATTCACAGATATTTGAAGTATGCATTAAACAAAGTATAGCCAAATACAATATGTACAGTGGTCACATCTATCCCTTGTAAACATATCTTAAGGAGCCCTGATGGTGCAGTGGTTAAAGTGCTCAGCTGGTAACACAAAGGTCAATGGTTTGAACTCACTAGATGCCCCATAACAGAAAGTATAGCATTCTGCTCCCGTGAAGATTACAACCTTGGAAATTTTGGTTTTTAAATTTTGCTTTTGAAAGTCATTCTCCCTGAACATTCAAATCTTATGCTTAGGTATTAGAACATAATTTAAGCAAGTTAAATCTTCTAATCATCTACTTTTTTTGTGAAAAAATGAAATTCCAAAGTAATATAATTCAAAATCTCCCAAGATAAAGCAAATACTTTTTGTTTGTCCCTGGTGGGCTTTTTCCCTTAGCCTGAGGGCACTGATACATTAGCCTGATTGCACTGATGCATTAGCCTGATTGCACCAGGCCTATTCTGCTGACTCTAGCTTGCAATACCTCCTCTTTCCCAGCTCTCATGGTTCCCGTGTGGGACAGTTCTACTCTGCCCTATAGTGTTGCTATGAATCAGAGTTGACTCAATGGCAATAAGTTTAGTTTTGTCTTGGTTTTAGACATATCTGTAATTATATACTTACAGGATATCATAAATGCAGTATGCTCTCTACAAATATAGTTAAAAAAGATTCACTCACAATCTCTCTTTCTGTACACTTTTGTTGCCTCTGTTGTCACTATAACTGTAAAATACTTTTCTGTTTTCCAAATATCTTATTGTCATGAGATGTCGGACTTAAAAAAATTCTGTATCTTTTCTGTTTTTTCTTCTGTATTTCCAATTGCATTTTGTGACTATGGCATTTATGTTACTGCATAGTAAAATAAAACTTTTGTTTCTGCATCTTCTACTTCTTATCCTCTGCTGATAACTATCTTTGTTTTGACTGTGTCTTGCTTGGTAATATGTCCAACAAACCAGGAATACATAGATAAGTACCATATTAACGAGCACAAAAACACTAGAATAGATTTTTCTGAATTTTGATCTCTTTCCCCAGACGTAACACTGCAAGTAAGCACCTGTAGTGGTCAAGGTCTAGTTCTCATATAACTTTAACCTCTGAGAGGAAATCCTCTAGTTGATATTCTAGTATTGGCTACATTCCTAATTGTTCTCATTATTGGTTTATATTGTCCCTGCCAAAGCTAACTATGGTTCACCCTAGCATTATTATTTTAATATTTTTATTTTGATAAGGATAATACTCAGTCTACATAGGATGAAGCTTGTCATAATATAGCTAAGTGAGAAAACATGTAATATTTGATAATACTAGTGGTATAATGATGCCTTAAGAATATTTATCATGTCAAGCACAATAAAAACCAAAAAAAAAAAAAAAAAAAAGAAATCAAATGAAGTATTGCATTGGGAAAAAAAAGAATATTGATCACATCAGTCTGCGTTCTCATTTTCCTTATGTCCTTCAACACATTTAAAATAGTTGCTTTAAAACACTTGTGTGCTAATTCCACCATCTGGGTCATTGTGGGGTTGATCTTTGTTGATTAAATTTCTGTTGCTTTGTCTAATAATTTTGGATTGCATCCTGGACATTGTAAATTGTATGTTGTTTTGGATTGTTGTATATTCTTCTGAATAATATTGTTTATTTTCTTTCAGCAAGCAGCTAATCAGCTAACTTAAACTCCAGACTCTCTGGTGTTCCCTCTAGAGTGAGCAACAGCTGGAATCTGTGTTCAGTTCTTTTAACTTAAGCTGGACTCCTTGGAGTCTGTTCCTCATGTACAGAATTAAGGGATCAGCTAGAGATGTGGGCAAAGAGTATTTGCAGAATTCGATGTTATCTCTCTACTCTTTTTCCCATAATTTCTACCTTCGTTTTCTAGCTATTGTTGTAACCCTTAACACTTTACTCTGGTTCTCCAAGCCAGTAAAATTGCAAATTTCTCTCCTAGTTTTAGTCAACCCACGTGATGACAACTGGAGCCTACCTTTAGGCAAAAACTTAAAAGCAAACAAAATAAAAACAAATAAACATGAATCTTACCATTGCCCTCCAATCTAAGAAGTTTCAACCTCCCTACAGTTTTTACCTCCTTTTAGTCATTTACCGGTGCCTTCAGATAGTGGTTTTGGCTATTTTATTGAAATTTTATAATTGTTATTTGCACAGAGGTTGTCTGATAGGAGCTACTTTGCTATTACCAAAAGCAGAAATTGTAATTCTAATATTGGTAATCTTGTTGTTGTTGTTATTGTTGTTGTTATGTGCCATCGAGTCAGACCCAACCCATAGCGACACCTCCTTGGGTTTGGTAATCTTAGACTGTATTAAGATAAATTGGTCACAGAATAAGAGATGTAGTTTTACTTCTGACTTTCACACCCTCCAGTTTACTCTAAAAGTACAAATTTTACTTCTGGGCTCCATGT